CTGTATATTAGTTAATATGACGATTTTAGTCTCTGTAATCCAAAATTATTCTTGGTAGACAAATCTCACAGCAATCTTATTGGTGTGAGATTTGTCTCACAGCGGTTATTCACTGAAGAGGGACTGGAAAATATTAGACCAGCCCGAAATGCATTTGATGTAGTCTTTACAAAATAAATTTAATTTGCCAATAAGATTGCTGTGAGATTTGTCTACCAAGAATAATTTTGGATTACAGAGACTAAAATCGTCATATTAACTACTGTGATCGTTCACCATTTTTACCCTAGTTACATCCTCATTCAGCTACTTACAGGACATGGCAACTATAAGCAATACTTGCATAGATTTAAACTTGGGACAATCCACAATACAATTGTGGTATTCAGGAGGATCAAACACCACTTCACTTAGTTTTTTGCTGCAATAGGTACAATCACATTAGGAATAGCTTAATGAGAACTGCTATTCTTGAAGGGTACAACTGGCCTTGCAACCCGCACCAACTCATTCACATGTGTACAATGTTCCATCAGCTACTCACATTTGTATCCCTTAGTGGGGCTCTTGAGAGCACTCACTCTGGGGGCATGAATGGCAATTAGCTTTCCCTTGCTTTGTTTCAACTTTCAGTATATCCCTTAGTGAAGCTCTTGAGAGCACTCACTCTGGGGGCATGAATGGCAATTAGCTTTCGTTTGCTTTGTTTCAACTGTCAGTTTTCAACTTTGTATTTTAAATCTCTTTTTTCTGTTTTCTTTTCAGTCTAAATTTGGTTAGTTTAAGTTAGTCCTAGTTGTAAGTTAGGTTAGGGACTCTTATCTTGGTTTCCAGTTAGGTTATGGTAGGTTAGTTTAGTTAGTGAGTAAGTTAATGTTTAAAAAATAAATAAAATAAATAAAAAAGAAAAAAAAAAAGAATTTGTGGTCTTGCTTGTTTGTCTTCTGTCGGTCTGTTCGTCTTGTCTAGTTTGTTGTTGTGTTCGTTTGTTTTCATACTGTCTGTCTAGCAGTTAATAGTATTAAGATTTGCGCTTGTGTTCAGTTTATCAGTATTAAGTAAATATATCATATTTAATCGCATTTAAGATGAAGTTTTATCATTTTTTACTGCTTCAAAAACCTAGGTCATCCTATATGTTCAAGGAAAGTATTCTTTGCATTTTTGCAATAATTTTTGTGAACCATGTGTTTGCATTTTTTACAGGATGCTCACTCTGTAGTGTTTAAAAATAAAAGTATTTTATCTGGGTCATTTCAATTGTTCTTGTGTATTGTCAGGAGTAAAGATGAAGAGCAATAGGAAAAGCAAAGCTTTTGAATTGAATTCCAAAAATACATGGGAGCCCAACATAAGTTTTAATCCATTCCCACATGATCATTCGGAAATTAGAATTTGAAGAAACTCATAAGTGTAATTGATGGAGAGTGGATTCAACTGTTAAGAATTGGCAAAAAAGGTTCCCAATTGTCCAACTTTACATGAGCAAATTATGTTGTTGATTTTACAAGATTTTTCTTTAATTAAAGTTTAAAACTTTTGTGCCAGTAATTTTTGTGGGACAACGTGTGCATTTTACATGCATTTGATATTTTATTTATGATTAAATGAAATAAAATTAGAATTCTTTATATTGATCTTTAAAGTCACACCTCATCCTATATGTGAGATCGTCTTATATGCAAGTAAATATGGTAAGCCTTCCTACTAACAGCCACTTGGCACTAACTTCTACACTTAGCTATTCATGGCAATACTCAATTATTGTTGTTCACTACACTCAGGTTTTCTTTCAGACCCTTTGGGACTATGGCCTTGCAGCCTAAAAACTGCATGCCAACATCAAACGTAGAGGGTACAGTAGCCGTATGTACACCATTCAGAGAGATCCTATCTTTCTCTACTCTCTTTCTCCTCTCCCTCCTTCCCCTTACCTTCTTTTTCACTGGCTAAACACTTTGTGTACGGCCATGTGTTTCATGTATGTATGTTTGTATGTTTGCATGTATGTATGTATATATACACTATCAAGAAATTTTTTGAGCTCATTTCTTGTCATAATAAATTACTGTACTATGTATCCACATTCTAGTTCTCTACTTTATCAAAGAAAACCCTGCTGCCTTTTATACTTTTATCTTGTACTTAACTTGGACAAATACCGTACAAGTAGATTTTTTTTTATTATATCAGTGAATATGGTGAATATTAATTTCTTATTTTTGGTTAATAATTTTTATTACTGGCAAAATTAATTCCTGTATATCTGTGTATCTATCTATTTTTCAATTTTTATTTTCATGGAAATTTGTATTAAAAGTGTATCTTATATAAAAACTTTATACAGTAGCGCGTCGATTTTCCGAATCAATTGGGGACTGGGGTTGTTCGTATAACTGATATTTCGGATAACCGATTTATGTACGAAAAACTAGTTTAACATATCCGACGTTGAAATTTTTCTCCATAGTGTGTCGCTTCATGTTGAATTTTTGTCGATGTTAAGCCTAACAAAGACTATTGTATCGTTAAAAATTATTTTTTTATTTTGTACACACAAAATAAATATACTGAAAAATATAAAAACAACAAAAAAATATACTTCAGATGTTAATTTAGTATCAAAAACGTAAAATATTTGAGTAGCCCAAGACATAGCCAAAGATTGAAGCACCACAGCACTGGCGAAAATTTAAATTTGCCGACTGGAATTCTTTCGAATGATTGACGTTTCGGATGATTGACTTTCGGAAAATCGACGCTCTACTGTATTTATTAACTAAGATGTCACACGACTTTGTCATATTGCAATAGAATTGAGGCAGATCCAGAAAGAAATTGCACCTGTTAGGCATAGAAGAGGCAATCATTGTACTTGATGGATGTGGACAGGTGAACTTTGCACTTGTTAGTTCAAAAGAGATTATCCTTGCGCCAACCAGATACTGGGAAATGATCCTTGCACTTGCTGATACAGAGGCAATCCAAGAAAAAAACAATCGATGACATTTGCTTAGTTCTTGTGTTTGTTCATTTTTTGTGCATATTTTCCGTTAGGCGCACGCAATGCTGTTTTTATTTTTGTCCCCTAGGCCTAAATTCCCTTAGGCATGCTCAGTTGCATACATGGATATTGTCACTAATATCTCTGTATATCAAAAACAAATTCATGGACTCCTACTTTTTATATTTAAATGGACCCTCATTACATTTTTGGATTCCTCATCACAATTAATGGAAAATGGCAAAGTTTAATGAAAATCAATTGAACATATTTTGAGAATGAACACAATTCCATAAGCCACATACAAGATGCTTCACTAACACTCTGCCTCAATTATTATATAAAACATAGTTTCAGTATAAATTTACATTTATATAATTTGGATTTGAAAAAATTATATTTTTTTCTATGGTTCAGTTTATCAGGTTAAACTAATTATTTCAAATTTTGTAAGCCATGGTCACACCATGCGATTTCCAGTCGTGCAGACTATTGCAACTGCAACAAGCACAAATCTCACACATCTCATGGTCACACATTGTTTGCTGGTGTTGCAACTCGGAAACACATGATCCTATTAATAAACCAATAAAATTACAGTAGCTTGTTTTAGACTTCTTTCATGAGTTTAGCTATATTCAAAACAATATTGTCATTACTAAACTAAAAACAATCAACATTTTATATCCAGAAATCTAAAAATGGTACTTAAAATCAATGCTTGCGCTCTTTTATCCTTTCTTCAATAAAATGAAGAATTAAAATCCCATGAGCATTCATGAGACTGAATTAGCTCGATTAATCTCGATTCTGTTAAACTATCCATCATCTTGCTTTCTGCCATTATTTTCTAACTACAGTATTTTTAATGTTGCAACCGTATGATGTAGAAAATAGACGTTTGCTGATTGGATGTGTGTTTGCAATTGGTGCGAGTAGAACAAACTTTTTGTTTCTAGTTGTGATTGCAGTCATGCCGATTATCGAAGGGAATTTACTAGTTAACGAGAACAGCCGTCATGCTTGCAGTTGCCTGTGCAGCTAGAAATTGCATGGTGAGACCATGGCTAAAGTTAAATATTAAGGTCCTTAATATTAAGGTATTAAAAGATCCTTTTATGTAAGTTTATAAACATTTTACGTTTGCTTTAATTATGTTCAAAAAAATTATTAATTTCAGTATTTGTTAAATATTAAAGTAATACTTTTAAACATGGATACAATTAAGAATGAAAAGATTAATCCTATTAATATTTTANGTAACAGACTCTAACTTCTCTCGATATACTTTAACCCATTGCTTTAATAAAAAATATTGAAATTATTTCATTGTACTTTGTAAAATTTATTAATAATTAAATTATACTTGTTACCTGTTCTTCATACTGAATAATATTTGCATACAATTGACACTTTTCCTTACCAATTTCCCCACTTTGGGATAAAACCCTAAAAAAATAAATACAATATTTTAAAATAAAAAATCTGTAATGAATGTAAACACAAATTACATATAATTTACCAATTACATCCAAACAAACAAAAATGTATCTTATTTCTTAACTAGTCTCATTTAAACAAAAACATTTGATTATATCTTAATTTTCCCAATTTCCTATTTTATCTAAAAATAAAAATTTTGACCTCTAACTTCTCTTTATGATTACATGTGAATACAATTTTAAGAAATTTTAACAGATTAAATTTTATTCTGAAAGTTTTAATTGCAGCCTAATTATATTCTTATCATTTATTCAATAATATTTATCTACTTCTTAATAGTAGATACAGTAAACCAAGCTAATTTGAAACTTCCATGGATTTTGAAAAAATTTAGACAAATTGTTTTGAAACAGTAATTTAAAATTTATTGACAATAAAAAAATTATAATTAGTGAGTGTTTTAATATTTAGAAATCTTTGTTATACTGTGCATTATATTACTGTAGCTGGTAAATTACTAAAGACTATCTATTGCTGAATACTATACACTGTCAATCACTATATTCAGGACACCTTAGACCATCTTGTCACCAGGCTTACAAATACAATCACTAACTCTCACATTATTGCCTCCAAGTTCAAACACTGTAAACACAAAAAGGTTCCTTGGTGGACCATTGAGCTAGAAAACAAGAAAAAAGTAGTTAGGAGATTAAGGAGGCAATATAGGAATGAACAAGACCCAGATATTAAAGTCACACTTAAAGATCAGTAAAGGTAAAAACATAACACTTATAAAACCCTTATAAATAAAACAAGGACTAACACTTGGAATGATTTCTGTACCAACACTTGCGGTCACAACCCCTGGTCTGAACCACACTACTTAGCTTGTAAGGAAAAGTGCTAGCTTCTCAATGGTTGCTACACCAACAACACAGAAGAAACTATCTTGCACATCCTCACCAGCCTTCATCATCCTGCTGTGAGTCACCCTTCAGATGACCCACAGCAGGATGACAATACACAAGTGGTCATCTGGAGTTCTAACTCCTCCTAATACAGACAATGACCACAACTTCACCTACATCGAGGTTTCGAATGCCATCTGTTCACTCACAGATAACAGCCCCAGGTCTTGACAG